TATATTTATTTATTTCAGTGTATGATGCCATCATTCATTATTATTTACACTCATAAGTTTCAGTATCGTGCGTGCACAGACAACCATATCTATCTATCTATCTATCTATCTAATGTTAAATGTGAAGATTTGTGCTGAAATATCTCGGACCGTCTTGGGAAAAAAATATATATATTCCTCTTTGGTCAGATTTGATCTATGTAATAGTATAGTTACAGAGAGGAACCAATTGGTTAAATATTAGCAAGAAAATAATAATTATGCAACATCCTATATATTCGGAAATTTCATAAATTCCAAGGAGAGTCTATATATATTTGTTCACATCAATGTAGGGTGCTTCTTTTCTATGTTATCGTTATTGGGCATAAGCGAATATTCAACACTTGCGCTATGTAATTCGTGCCACTTTACAGCTCGTCATTGGGTGAATAGATGCCAGAACAGTGACAAATGCATTAAGTATCTTCCCCGCTGGTTACCGTCACTAGGCCCTTTGAGTGTTATATTTTCCAGTTCCTCTTTCCTCATTACGTCTCGGAGAAATTCTGCATTCTCTTTTTGATATTTGAGTGTCATTTTTTTCTGTAGTTATTAGATTTGTTTAAAATTCGTCGTTCATCATATGTTCTGAATTCTCAACTTTCATCTCTGATATGGAAATGTAAAATGTTGCCATGTTTTCTTATTAACGGTCGTCTGATGAAAACGTGAAGCCTAAAGTTTTATTTTTATTACACAATTTATGTAATAATAAGATAATACCGATTTAAAAAAAAATATATATATCAGTACTTCTTTTCATAAATAATAATAGTTAAATATATATCTACACAAACTATAACAGCAAGAAACCTCTACATTGATGAGTAAAATAAGTCCTCTAAACAATATCAGGATTCAGTGTTGTGATTGTAAGCATTATTTAGGAATTGTAGAGGTTTATTGTTGGTATAATTTGTATAGATATATATTTAAATATTATTTGTTTCTGAAATATACAAAATATATTCACTTATATATATATATATATATATATCTATATATTTATCTATTATATATATATATATATAGTAGTTTCTCAGAAATTAATTTTCTTATCTGACAATATTTCATACTACAAACTATCTATCTATCTATCTATCTATCTATCTATCTATCTATCTATCTATCTACATCTGATTTGTATCTATCGTGTTCTGTTCAGTATCTATCTATCTATCTATCTATCTATCTATCTATCTATCTATCTATCTATCTATCTGTTTTCAGTATCTCGCCCACTCTCTCACTCTCTAACTACCTATCCAGACGTGTTCAGTATCTATCTTTCTCCCTATATCTAGATCTGTTCAGTATCTGTCTATGTATCTAGCTAGCTCTGTTCAGTATCTATCTATCTATCTATCTATCTATCTATCTATCTATCTATCTATCTATCTATCTGTTGCAATGTTTTGTTAGAAAATTACATTAACCTTCCTTGCATGCTCAGTGAGTTATATGTCCCATGCTTGACTAAATCAAACACAATATCGCTCTGTCTGTCAAATTATCAAATGTCGGTATGTACGTAACACGAGTGTTAGTGCTATATTTATTATATCAAATTTTCGCTGATAACAAGTAACTGAGATTTCTCTTTGAGTAGCAACCTGCAACTTGTAAGAAGCTAATTCCATAATACTTTATTGTATCTAACTAACATGGAATGTACTGGAGCAGTTGGTAACACCACTTATCAGTGCACAAATTCCCTTAAATAAGGTTTTTGAATTTTGTCCATGGACACCTCACTGGTAGAGATGCACTGTTGAGGTGGCTTAGCGTCTCTGTTGTAGAATGTTCACTTTTCTCATCGAATATCTCCATATTAAAAAAAATATATAATATACAACACCTTTCTCCTTTCAAGATGAAACAACAAATAAGTCTTATTCTTGGCATAATAAATGCCTGTGTCATAGATTGTTTCACGTTATATCAGATTGTATTAAGTAGATCAATGATTTTTTTTTGCAATGGAATCGGTATTTATCATCAGATATTGGTAAATTCTTTAGGATATGAGTATATGAACAGTAGGAGTGATTTTCAACTTACGACATCTATGCTTATTTAAAATGTTGAGAATAAACTATTGGTCGGGGTGTCCGATTTTCTCAAGCGTACAAAAAACTATTAAAGAGATTTTGAAATAGATAAATCTAAAAGAGAATGGCCACAAAAATATGTATTAGTTAAATACAACGTCCTACGTACAGGAATAAGTTATTTTTTTCATTTTACATGAAATGTCGAACTCCTGGGTATTCTATAACATTCAACAATATTTCCTACATAGATTTTGTTTCCTTACTAATGTTTTTGCTCACCAGAAATCGTTTTTTGGTTGAAAAATTATCTTAGGCATACACACACACATACATATGTACACACATTATATATATATATATATATATATATATATATATATATATATATATATATATATATATAT